GGTTATCTTCGAGTTGTAAGCATCATCCTTCGTACCAAAAGCATACCATCACATTCACCCTCCTCCTTACTCACCTTAGAAGAGTTTAAGAGCAGCAAAGTTCAATAAATTTCAAGGAGGCAAGCCAAAGAGCCGCAGCTACACAAGGACCAAGCAAGAAGAGTAACACCGAGCATATACCATTTCTCTCACGTTTTCTTAAAGATTAAAAGCTTGGTATGTTCAAACCTTTTTAGAATCATAAAATATATGAGATAAGGAGTTTATTGATATATAATTGAGCCATATATGTTCGGTTTTGGAGTAGTTTCAAGTATGCTTAATGTGTAAGTACTCCCAGTTTTTCTAACATGTTCTATATGTTATGTTTTCGTACGTTTTTTCCTATGCTCTAAAAATCTAGAAATGTGAGAATTTTATGTCTAATTCTTGTAGAAGAGATGAGTTCATAGGATCAAGAATTAGGTCAATTGGCTTAGTATAACTCGAGTTCTTGATTTTTAAATTTAAACATGCAAGATGAACTTTACATGTGCGAATTTCAGTTGCGACTTCAAACGTGTAGAACTCGAGTTATACTCAGGATAAAATTATGAAATTTTATTGACATTTTTATATATGAGTTTAGAGCCTCCATACCAAATTTCATGATTTTATCATAAGAAATGAAGGAGTTATAATTTTTAATTCGCATGCGTGTCGAACTAATTTTATGTGCAAGAGTACTCTGTCCACATGCAAGCTATGAATGCGAAACTTTTATGTAAAATCCTCATATGAGTGGTAAACATTGTGACCGAGTTTGAGCTTAAAATGTTGATCATATGAATTTATAAAATTGTTGCAATATGCGCATGTATATAACTGAATTTCTTGTTATGCTTAAGTCATGAGTTTAATAAGAAAATGAAGTCCTATTGACATGAAATTTGGACAACAAGTACATGTCTATGTCTACTATTTAACTGCCAAGTTTCTTATTTTCGAGACTTGTGTAAATTTTAAAAATTCATGAGGTTAAGAGCTCAATTATGTTCGGTTTAAATTTTAGATAAATGTAAAATCTTGATTTAATTGAGCTTCATGAGTAGACATGGCTTAGTATAAGTTAAGTGGCCAGAGGGGGTCACCTTCCCACCCTGATCGGCAAGCAGCCAGTGCCGCACGGTCAGCGTGTGCGCTTGCAGCCCAAACCGAGCCTAGGTCACCAGTCGAACTCGAGCCGGTTCGGTAATCGGACCCGGTTCGACTAAGTTAGACCGGCTGGTTCAAACCAGATTAAGATAGACTGATAAATTCAGTTTTCAGGATTCAGTCAGACTTTATTCGGAAACGCTAGATCAGTCCAGTCGAGCAGAAGAGCAAGTCCAGTTTACTTGTTTACGTGATCTTATTTGTTTTATCTGTTTTGTTATGTATGCATGTAATTATTTATCTGTAATCTGCCTTATCTGCCTGCCTGCTTATCTGTTATAATATAAAATGATCATTTCAGACTAAGTTTAGCAATCAAGCAAAATACTTAGATTATTTTGCTTGTATATGTTTGGTAGCTTGAGGAGAGTCGAGCCTCCGACAGCTACCCAGATTTTCCAACACTTGCGTAGTCCTTTTCAGCATAACATGTGGGGGTCATGTACTGGATTCCACATCATGTATAATATCTGTACCATGGCAGAGGTATGTTCGAGACAGTTAGTTCTCCAGGTGGAGGCCGACCTAAGGGCCTTAATATCCCATCTGGTGACCAGTGAAGGCCAAGGGCCTTAATATCCCATCAATGTGTGTACACGAGCGGCCGACCTAAGGGCTGAGGGTCTTTTGACCACAGTAAAGCAAGAAAAGAAAAGTTTACAGTTTAAGCTCTTATATATTTATGTTCATGACACGTTATTACAAATGTTGTTTTATTCAGTACTGGTCTTTGCGGAGCATAGTGGTTTGCTCAGGCCCCCATTGTGGTTTTTTGGAGACGGAGTCGAGCGTGCCGAATGAGCACAGACGTGGCGAAGCGTGGTCATGAGAGTCTTGAACATTTTTACGCACATTTTATGTCCTAGTTTTATGATCATGTATTATTCGGATATGTATGCATGTATTTCTGTATTTCGGATGCTTTCGCTAGCAGACTAGACAGTGCGAGACAGTTCGGACATTGCATGTTTAATTCCATTATTCGTAGCGGATAGTTTGGTTGCATGTTTTATATATGTCTGTGAGAAAGTTAAGTAAATTTTTATCTGTGACATCCCGCAACAAGTTAGTATTTTCGAAAACCAAGCTCGCGCGACTTTTCGAAAATAAAAGCAAAAATTTTACTCTGATTTTTCAAAGCTAGTAAGGCGGGGTGTGACAGGCGCGAAGGAGAGGACCGCGTGTGCGCACGCGGGCGAGTATGCACACGCGACTAGAGTTCTTGAGGAAACCGGCGACGCGCATGGAGAGGAAACACGCGCGCGCGAAGGCGGCGATGCCTTAGTCCTCGAGGCAATAGGCAAGGCGCACGAGAGTGGATCCTGAGGCGGCTAGGGCTTCTGATGTGACGCGCAAGACAAGATTTCTAGGATCTTCTAGGATATTTAGTTTCCTTATTACTTTATGCTTTCTAGAATATTTAGGACTTTTAATATTTTATTGCTATAATTAGTGATTTAGTTTGATTAGGACTAGAATTATTTTGAAGCCTATATAAAGGCATATGCTCTTGTTATTTTCATCATTCAAGAATTAATACAAAAACCGAACTTTTGTTCAACTCGTTGCCTTAGAATTCTTTACGTTTTCTTTTGCAGTTGTCTTTCGAAGGGGCGCGCGAGTGAACCTTCGAACCTATCGTCGTGACCGAGTCGCTCGCGTGTCTCAACCGGCAATCGAACGCACGATCTCTCATCAATAAGGCAAGGCGCGCGCGGGAGGTGGAGGGTCCGAGGCGGCGTGAAGGGCGGCTAGGGTTCCTTACTTGGAGTCCAAGACAAGATCATCAAGGATTCTTTAGATATTTAGTTTCCTTCTTTTCATAAGATTTCTAGATTGTTTAGGATACTTAATATTTTATTGTTTTATTAGAGTTATAGTTAGATTAGGACTAGATCTATTTGATGCCTATATAAAGGCCCTTCCTCTTGTTATTTTGATTAATTCAAGATCATAATAAAAAACCGAACTTTTGTTCAAACACTTTGCCTTAGATTTCTTCTTCATTTCTTTTGCAATTTTATTCTTTTTCGAGAGGCGCGGGTGTTGAACCTCCAAGACAACTATCGTCGGTTCAAGGCACGAGTGTGTGGCTAATCGACAATCGGGACAAGCGAGCTTCATCATTGGTGCTTTCATTGAGAGTATCTAGATCGTGTGTCTTTTCCTTTCCCATTCTTTTTCTTCCCCATCTTTTTATTTTCGTTCGAAACAAAAAAAAAAATAATCTTCAAGACGAGTCCTCGAAGCAAGGAGCGAAAGAAAGAAAAGAAAACTATGGCGAACAAGGAGATGAAGGACAAGATCGATAATCTAGACGTTCAAGTCCGAAGCATGAGCGAAGCCATGGATACCCTAGGCGAGGGGCTCGACACAACCAAGGCATCGGTTCATGATTTGATGGAGAGCATGAACCGAAGGCTTGATGAGATGGCTCGCAATTTCCAACATCACGCGCGACCACCACCGCGGCAACCGGGGCGCGAGCGGCCCGAGGAACAAGAGCAGTGGCGCGCCGAGCATGAGCAAGAGGAGGACTTCGAGCAGCGTTCACAAGCATCCAACATCCACGATAGCCCAAGGCTCGACAAACTAAGACTCACGCTGTCCACCTTCATCGGCACCGGCCCCGAGGCATGGCTCAATCGGGCCGTGCAAAATTTTGAGCTCAACGAAACCGAGGGGAATGACTGTGTGCGATACGCGGCCTACTATCTGGATGGCGAAGCCAACGTGTGGTGGCAATGGCTCACGAGTGTTTACCGCAACCGGCAGCGAGTCATCAGGTGGAACGATTTCGAACGCGAGTTACTCATGCGTTTTGGGACATCCGACTACCACAACTATGACGAAGCACTCTCGCGCGTACGAGAGATAGGCAGCTTGCGCGACTATCTAAAGGAGTTCGAAAGATTAGCGTGTCGCGTACGGGGCTGGCCCGAAACCGCACTGGTCGGGGCAATCATTGGCGGCCTAAAATTTGAATTAGGCGCAGAAGTTCGCTTGGAGTGGCCCGAATCGATGCATGCCGCCATGGAGGTTGCTCGATGCCGAGACGACCACCTTGCCGCCACTCGAAGGTGACGGGCGGACGCGTGCTTTCCTGAGCCGCGATGCACGAGCAACACCATACCAAGTGTAAGGCCCCTTTCGTTTATTTGGATTTTTGGATATTATTATTATTATTATTATTACTATTATTATTATTATTATTATTATTATTATTATTATATTATTATTATTATTACAAAAATAGTAGCAAAAAAATAGGAGAGAATTTAATGCAACTTATAAATAGTAAGCTTTATTATTTTTTATTTTTATCTTTGAAAATTCATACAACATTTAATGTTACATTAAATTTTTGATAAATTCTAGATAAATCCCTAATGCTATAATCAATTTTCTGCTCAGTCCCTAGCATAATTTTTTTCTTGTGCACCCCTAAATACATTAGTCTCTTTTCTCTCAACTCCCTATATATATAAGTATTATTATTTGTCATTTAATTTTATTCATACTTCGCAACAACTGAAAAATATCAGAAAAAAGAAAAAAAAAAAACCACCTCGTCTCTCAAGATCCCCAAATTCTTGAAAAATCTAATCCCAAATTAAGATCCCAAAATTCTTGAAAAATCTAATCTCAATTCAATTGCTTGTTCGCAGAACTCGATTATGTGGCGAAGGTGCACGATCTTGAGGAGGCTTCCGAATCAATTCCAGTATGGCCGGTAAAGGTGGATGGCTATATTGACGCCAATCGCGTGAGAACAGCCGGGAGCCACACGAGGAGCCTGCTTAGGGTCAAACGCGGGCTAGACATGGTCGGGGGATGATAAGGCCGGCGAGGCGGAGACGGGATTCGAAAAGGTCGAGCAGGCCGTGATGAACGGCGAGCCCGTTCAAAACGAGGATTAGATTGTCGAGAAGGTCGAAAATTCGGGAGCTCGGCTGGTGGATAGTGAGAACGACAGTCTTTGCCGTGTCCGCTGACTGGAGAAGGGAGATGACGTGGAGGGCCGAGGAGGAGTCGAGGCCTGAAGTGGGCTCGTCCACAAGCAAGACTCCCGGGTCATGGACGAGCTCGATACCGATCGAGGCACGACGACTCTTGCTGCCGGAGATCTCAATTATTCTCGAGCGGGCCACGTGGCCGAGGTTGAGGTCTCGGATGACCTGGAGGGCCAGTGGCGGGGAAGATGGAAGAGACCGGTGTAGGTGAAGGTCTCCTCGACCGTGAGGTAGGAGAAGAGGGTGTCGTCGTGGCTGACATGGCCCGACAGGCAGCGGAATGTGGAAGGGTCGGCGGGGCGGCCGTTGACGTTCTAGATGATGTACTTGGGTGGTGGTGATGATGACGATGTCTTGGAGGATAATAGGCGTGTAAATTGGTGGTGACGTGGGTTTTAGTGAGTGTATGAGAGGTTTTTGGTTTCTATTGTGTAGGTTGTCACGTCCTGGCTTTTGGATCTGTATTCATTTGATACAGAGCTACTTCTCCAGGTAATTTCACCATTAAAAGCTGTTTAAGTGGTTCGTCTGATTGGTTACTGAAGAATTTTGAATATGGGTGATGATTGTGTCTGTTGGTTTTGGATTATTGTTAGGAAAGATAAAACTCTTTCTTTTTTTTTTTTTGTAGGAAAATGGAGGNGGAAAATGGAGGTGATGGTGGGCAATTGGGATTGCAGTAAAAAATTTGATGGTAGGAAATTTTAAGTTGGATAAAGGGGGTTTTGCTGAATCCATGGTTGTTAATCAGAAGTAAGAAAATAAATAAAAACACAAACTGTTAATTTTTATAATATTAGAAGATTGATGATTCTTTAGTTCTCATCTTGTAATGGCTTCGTAATATGTTCGAATTATTTCCGGTATGTGCGTTTTTGCTTTGTTCTGTGCTAGGAGGAGGAATAACTGGGTTGTTGTTGAGTGTTGTTTATGAACAGCTAAAAAAATTATGCAGAATGAAATCTGATAAGGGAAAATCATCATGATTGAATTTATTAATACTTATCAGTGGTTGAGTCTATATCTTAGAGTGCTTGCAATCACTAAATATATCTGTAAATTGTCAGCTTCTAATTGAAGTTTAGCTTTAATGTGCTTTTGAAGTCATTTAGATACATGTAATGCATTAAACCACATTTTTATACATATACTTTAATATTGGTCAACATTTTCAAAATTAGTACTAGACCTAGAGTAAGATAGTACCGCAATATAGTGTTTTAGTACCAAATATCGGGTCTTCACTACCAACACCGATGAACATTTGCAAAATTAATACCAGACCTAGAGTAAGATAGTACTGATATTATGGTTTTCTAGTACAATATATCGGGTCTTCAGTATCAACTTCGACGACCATTAAAAAATAAAAAATGATTTTTTTCTAAAATAGTATCAGTTTTACAACATTTTTATGACCAAATCACGCTTGAACAATCCGTTTAGTATATTAATTAATAATTCTATCTATATTAATTAATATTTTTCAACCAACTCCGACGAACATAAAAAAAACGCGAATTTCGTAAAATGGTACCAGCTTTTCAAGAAATAATACCACTCCTTATTCTATTTAGTACCAGTTCCTAATGAATTACTACCTACTTTATAGAAAGAACAAGAAATGGTCACCGGGATAAATTCCTCAAGCCGCGAAACCAGACCCGCGAGCTGCTCAAAATTCGCGAGCGCCAGCCATTTTCAACGTTCCAAGCTCGATCCCGCGAATCCTGCTTCGCAGGCTGCCCGAAAATTCAGGAGCTATCGGCATTTTCAGCACTGGAAACTCGTCCCGCGCCCGCGAGATCCCGCTCTCCCGTGCCGCTTGCACACTAATGAAAGTACTAGTTTTCGGAATCATACTACCGCTTCTTCTTCTATGTGGTACCTATTTTTGATCAATTAGTACCAACTTTTGGTCAACGAAAATGGATTATTCAAATGGTCAACATTTGTAATAATTGGTACCAGACCTAGAGTAATATAGTATCAGCTTTCGGTGTTTTAGTACCGGATATTGTGTCTTTAGTACCACTTGTAACGAACACATAAAAACACCGAATTTCGGTCTCAAATGATGTTTATATGACCAATAATCCCTCATACATTAGTTTGTATAAGATTTAAAATATTTAAAATTAGTTTAATCGTAAAATAGTAATGAACTCAATACACTAATGAGGAAACACTACTAATACACTTCATTTCATTGAATGACACACTTCATCTCATAGAATCAACATATATGACTATTTCAAATTTTACCTATATATTTTAGCTTCCACTATTTTTCATCCAAATCAGGCGTGAAACGATCCACGTGTCATTGTATACATGAAGGATTAGAGAAATCGCGATTCTTAAAATAGTACCTGTTTTAGCCAATATAGTACCACATATTCATCTACGTAGTACCTTTTTTTGATCAATTAGTACCAACTTTTGGTCAACGAAAATGGATTATTCAATTGTGGTCAATATTTGCAATAATTGGTACCAAACCTAAAGTACGATAGTACCAGCTTTCGGAATTTTAGTACTAGATATCGGGTCTTTAGTGTTAACTCCGACGAACATAAAAAAAACACTGAATTTCGGTCTAAAATGATGTTTATATGACCCATAATCACTCTCACATTAGTTTATATGAGATTTAAAATGTTCAAAAACTGAATTTAATCGTAAAATGGTCATGAACTCAACAAACTAATGAGAAAACACTACTAATACACTTTATTTCATTGAATGATACACTTTGTCTCATAGAATCATTATACATGACTGCTCTAAATGCTACCTATATGCTTCAAATTTCATTATTTTTATCCAAATCACGCGTGAATGATCCATGTGTCATGGTAGACATGAAGGATTAGAGAAATCACGATTCTTAAGATATTACCGGTTTTAGCCAATATAAAACCGCATCTTCTTCTATGTGGTACCTGTTTTTGATCGATTAGTACCAACTTTTGGTCAACGAAAATGGATTATTCAATTTTGGTTAACATTGGCAATAATTGGTACCAGACCTAGAGTAAGATAGTACCATCTTTCGGTATTTTAGTACCAGATATTGGGTCTTTAGTACCACCTGTAACGAAGACATAAAAACACTGAATTTTGGTCTAAAATGATGTTTATATGACCCATAATCACTCTCACATTAGTTTATATGAGATTTAAAATGTTCAAAAATTGAGTTTAATCGTAAAATGGTCATGAACTCAACAAACTAATGAGAAAACACTACTAATACACTTCATTTCATTGAATGACACACTTCATCTCATAGAATCATCACAAATGACTACTCTAAATTCTACATACTCTTTTTAACCACAACTATTTTTCATCCAAATCAAGCTAGAACAATCCACGTTAAAAGGTAGACATGAAGGACTAAAAGAATTACGATTCCTAAACTAGCACCAGTTTTTGCAATAATAGTACCACATATTGTTCGACGTAATACCATCTTTTGAGCGATAAGTACCTACTTTTTTGAAGGAAAATTGGTTATTTCAATTTTACTCAACATTTACAAAAAGTAGTATCGGACCTAGAGAAAGATAGTACCACTTTTGTATTGTAGTAGTACCTGAGATTAGGTCTTCAGTACCACTTGTAATGAACACATAAAAACACCTAATTTCGGTCTCGAATGATGTTTACATGACCCGTAATCACTCTCACATTGGTTTATATGAGATTTAAAATGTTTTTAGTTGAGTTCAATCCTAAAATGGTCATGAACTAGACACACTAATGAGAAAACACTACTAATACAAGTCATTTCATTGAATGACACACTTCATCTCATAGAATCATCACACATGACTACTCCAAATTCTACATATTCTTTAACCTCAACTATTTTTCATCCAAATCAAGCTAGAACAATCCACGTTAAAAGGTAGACACGAAGGATTAAAAAAAATTACGATTCCTAAACTAGCACCAGTTTTTGCAATAATAGTACCACATATTGTTCTGCGTAGTACCAGTTTTTGAGCGATTAATACCTAATTTCTTGAAGGAGAATTGGTTATTTCAGTTTTACTCATCATTTACAAAAAGTAGTACCGAACCTAGAGAAAGATAGTACCACTTTTGGATTATAGTTGTACCTGATATTGGGTCTTCAGTACCACTTGTAATGAACACATGAAAACACTGAATTTCGGCCTCGAATGATGTTTACATGACCCGTAATCACTCTCACATTGGCTTATATGAGATTTAAGATGTTTTTAGTTGAGTTTAATCCTAAAATTGTCATGAACTCGACACACTAATGAGAAAACACTACTAATACACTTCATCTCATAGAATCATCACACATGACTACTCCAAATTCTACATATTCTTTTTAACTTCAACTATTTTTCATCCAAATCAAGCTAGAATAATCCACGTTAAAAGGTAGACATGAAGGATTAAAAAAAATTACGATTCCTAAACTAGCACCAGTTTTTGCAATAATAGTACCACATATTGTTCTACGTAGTACTAGTTTTTGAGCGATTAGTACCTACTTTTTTGAAGGAAAATTGATTATTTCAATTTTACTCAACATTTACAAAAAAAGTACCGGACCTAGAGAAAGATAGTACCACTTTTGTATTGTAGTAGTAAATGATATTGCATCTTTAGTACCACTTGTAATGAACACATAAAACACCGAATTTCAGCTTCAAATAATGTTTACATGACCCATAATCACTCTCAAATTGGTTTATATGAGATTCAAAATGTTTTTAATTAAGTTTAATCGTAGAATAATCATGAAATCGACACACTAATGAGAAAATCATCCTTAATATATATCACAACCACAATATTCCATATATAATGGTATTAAAATCATTTAGGTGCAACATTCCATATATGAAATTAAAAACAAATATTATAATTGTTGGATAATCCATTAATAAAACTTCATTTTATTTTTTCACCAAAAACCGTTACAATTTTTTTCTTTACTTATTTTTCTTTTAATAAAAAACATTTACAATTTTTTTTTTATTAATAAAACCGCTACAATTTTATAAAACCGTTATAATTGTTGGATAATCCATTAATAATTGTTGGATGAAACTAAAACCAAATATTATAATTGTTGGATAATCCATTAATAAAACCGTTACAATTTTTTTTCATTTTATTAAACATTTTTCTAATAAGCTGATTGAATTTAGTGCTATAACCAAACCTCTTACAATTGCACAAATAATAATAATAATAATAATAATAATAATAATAATAATAATAATAATAATAATAGTAATAATAATAACAACAACAACAACAATTTCAATAGTTTTTTAGCATAATTAATAGGTCAGAATCCTCAAATTTATAAATATTAAATTATTCATTTCTTTTTATGCAATCAACAGTGATAAAATTTAATACTTTTATGATCTTTGTTTTTACTAATGTCAAAATTTTTAAAATGTGATACTATTATTTAACATAATTGTAATTTCAATATTATATAACTAAATATAATCTAAATATCTGTGCATGTGCACATAATCAAATACTAGTTAATATTTATAACCTACCTAAATTTAATTATTAATTATAATATTATATTTATTTTATTATATAATTAATAAATATATTTCAAATAAATATTAATAGAAGAAATTGAGGATGTATACAATTATGTCCGTTAATTAATTTTAACTCATTCTTTTAAACACATAAATTTAAAAAAAGTTTAAAATATAGAATTAATGTTTATTTTTTTCAATATAATTTTTTGAATTAAACAAAAAATATAAAATTATGAATTTTAATAGTACAAAATTCATATAGATAAACATGATATATCACGCATTAAATTGGTCAATATAAATTCGTGTTGCGTAGCTATTAGAGTATAAAATTTGTTTGTTAAAAATTTCAAAATAATTGCATGTAATAAAATGAGGGAGATTTTATTTTGGTATAAAACGTTCGAATTTAAATGGTATGAATTTCATTTGGTATGGATAGAAGTGTATTTGAAAATTTTTAACATAAATTAGTTGTATGAATTTTATTTGGTATGGGTATGAAAGTCGAATTTTAAGTTGATTTGTTATAAAATTAAGGTGATATGATTATCAAATTTTAGCATATTTATATAATAACTTTCCATAAGATATTGATGATAATTTAATAAATTGGTATGTATTCCTCTTAAAATTTAAAATTTTGAATAAATATTTCTTAATAAAATCTATAATTTAATTCTAGAAAATTAGTTGATAAATTTGAACGGCGAGGTAACCGACAACAAACCTAAAAATTTGTGAGATTAGTAAAATATAGATTTATATAAAATATATAAGGGATTTTATTGTGTAGTCCAATTTTAGTTTTTAAATTTAAAAGAAAAATAAGTAATTATTCATAATTTACTGGTCAATGTTAACTTGGACGTAAATAAAATAGTCTACTATTTATAGTTTCTCAATTATTAAATTATTTTGATTAGGAAAAATAAATTTATTTTAATTATTGAAAAATATAAATTTTAGTATTATACATATTATTCACATAGATTATTTTTTTATTTTTATTTTTTTTTTTTTGTGGAACCACATTGTATTCAAATTGAATTTTTGAATAAAAGTTTTAAAATGACACTTATTTTGAAATAAATATAATGTAATTTATTATCAGTTATTTACACCGTACGAGTTATGTACTAATTTTAAATAGACATATCTTATGTAATTTTGCACAATTTTAATTTTATATAATATTTTAAATAAATTAATATAAGGGGCATATTACATATTTATTTCATATTTTCATTTTATAAATATTAAAAATAATTAAAATTGAGTAGAAAGAGAGAGAAAA